TCGCCACATTGATCTGGAATCCCCTTCCTCTTCTCAGGCTCGTTGTCTCTGTTTCCAGTGTCTCAACCAGGGGGAAAGCAGGCCAAAACTAGATGCGTATCGGAAACTCGTAACTTTGCCACCCTCTCAATGCCCAGATGACACTATGACCTCTTGTCCAACCTCATTCAGATACGGACTTTATGGCCAATATCGAGAATGCCCAGAGTTTCTCATTTTTTAGGTTTACCGAAAGTCAAATTTAGGGTAAAACTCTTAAAAATCGCCCCACAAAACCGAGATTTATGGCCTCGTTTCCTCTTCTGCTCGTGACTGGCCTTGACAGCCCTCAGTTTTTGCCCACCTAGCTCTCCTATCAGCACTATTGTGGGCCTTTTACGAACCTCCGTGGGGCAATTCAAGAGATTTGCAAAGTTAATTAAACATCTTTTCTTCTTCTAGTTAAACACTTCGTGTGAGAATAGGGAGAATCTCTTTGGATCCAGTGACTAGAGGAGGTGTTTTTTACCCAGATTATCCCACAAAACATAGCAATACTAATAGTAACGCTTTTCTATCTAAAACTGATAATAAAAAGTGCAAAAAGGTGAATTATGGTTCATGATGTACTAATATCCTTAAAGTGGATACCAAGCTGCACTAAAGGCAGACGCGCACGAAATATTCAGCCCTGATTATGGATAATCCTAATCCGGCAAACTTATTAAAAGGTATTTCTACAAGTAAAGTACGAGAGGCTTGCGTAAAAATGGCTTGAGCCTGTCACTAGAGCAAAAGGGGCAGATGAGAGTCAGTCCGTGGAGTGATCAAAGTGAAGCCCGACAAACTTCAAAGCAGGGCAGAATGAAACAGTCTACCTCCAAGGCACACGGAAAATGGCTGTTCTCTGTGACTACAATGACCTGAAAATTCGCTGTACAGAGACGGTTTAAGAGGCTTCCGAAGAATGCCAATTAATATGCTCAATTAGGAGCTTTGTGGAGTATGTGCAGGCCCGCTTGGCGCCTTCCACAGGGGCTCTAGGAAAAATGAATTGAGCGGTTGTATCTTCCCCTTCGTTTGGCAAAATGAGTGTACAGGAGTCGTAAATTGGCCTCATCCGACACAGAAAGAGGGCTTCATTTCGAGCAGATATGATTGCGCAAACAGGTCACCAGCTCAACATGTAATAGACCTCTTAGTTGACTGGTTGATGGATGAATGGATGGACGACTACTCTGTAGTTTGGCAACGCGACAGAGAGGTTCAGGAGCATTTCGTTAAGTCACCGTATTGATTGGGGATTCTAAATGGATGCCAGATACCATTTTTACTTTCTATGTTAGTAACGATGGAATTTAATTTAATGAGAAAATCAAAAGTGCCTTAGGGATTAAAGTAGGTATCCAATACTGATAAGTAGTCTGTCTCTACCAAACACAAATACTCGTGATTGGAGATAGGAAATTCCGAGAAAAAAAATTAAATTCTTAACAATCTTCTAATATGTTTAATAGCCTATCATTTTGCCGTATTAAGAAATAGGATGAAGAGAACAAACTGTTTACGGATAAAACAGGGAATCGGATAACTGGTCTCCATTCTTATTATGAACAGCTCTTGAACTTTCCAAAAAGATTGTGCTTCAGGAGGATGTATAAACAGAGACACACACTTTCTGAGGTCAAGCCTAGTAATCCAGTTTCATATTACCCACTTCCCAGTTCCACCTGTTGCAAGGTTTTGCGCTCTATCGGTAGCATCTGCGTGGGGCTGCTCTGCCAGCCCATACACACAAAGCCGCCTGCAAAGTCATTTGGGCCCAGAAATCAGAAGTGGCTGAGCGCAGGATCAAGGCCGGACACCAAACCAATATTTTTGTGATATTGAGACTCCACGTCTGAGCATAAGATTAAGGGGTCAATCACAATTAAGGAATGATAGTTGAGTAGAATGGTAGTCTAAGGAATTAAAGTAGACTCGTACTACACACACAGAAAAATTAATCTCACAATGATATTTAATTACATAGTCTACCTTAGTATGGATGAACTGCAGTTTCATCAGCACCCTCAACAGGATTAAACCGTGTCGAAAGATTCTTCCTAAGAGAGATCGTAACGGCAGTCCAGCCTGGATAAGATGGCTATTTTGGAGGCATGCCAAATAAAATTCACTGGCATGTTGAGGCCAATTAATATAAATGTAAAAAAATCAGATGCCAGTCATTAGGTCCAAGCTGATTGGGTTCTTATTTAAGAATAAGTGATAATTTCGAAGCCTACTTAAATCGGGAATAAGTAACTTTGTAGAGTGTAAAAGTAAATTACATTGAAATTCACACTATAAAATGCTCAAAAGCAACTCCTGCCCGTGACTCGCGGGTACTCGTGGAAATATGGTCGTAATGGCAACAGATCGAAGTCATTTGCTGCATTGGACGGGTTCGATTCCGGTTGAAGGTGCTGATGAGACTCAGGCAAGACCGAAACTGCGGCCAATCCAGGCGAGATGAGGATACCTTTTAGATGGAGGACTATGCGAAATGCTTCCTCATTTCATTGAGGGAAGGTTAAAGTAGCACTCCTTTGCGACTTATGTTAACTATAACTCTCATTCAAGATTTACCGATGTTCTCCAAAAACAAATTTATGTGAATATAAGCTTTTATTGAGTACGAATGAGCCTATAATTAAATTAAGTAATATCTTTTGCGTCGGTGAGTGTGCGTTTGTTGAGCTTATCGGTTTGTGACTTTGATTGTCTTCTTAAGGGATCCTGAGACGGTCGCCAGTCAGGGCAACCCAATGTCTTCATTTTCATTCATACCGCACGACCTTCATTGCCTCGGTATAAGTACATTAAATAATGTATATCAAAATTGAAACATTTCTGGTTTTCAGGCGAGCCAGGCTGTGCTTCGCGTACGAGACCTTCCAAAACCTATTCTCTCCAGGCTTTGCTTGGTAGGTCGGAAGGTCTATCGGTTGAGGGGAGGAGACCACAGCAAGTCGCCTCAAAGTCTTCTTCTGCACATAACATTGCTCAGGCTCCATTCGACGTGGTGCCGGTAGCTACACTTGGACGGCCACATCGAACGACCGAGACTCTCAGTTGGGCCATTCTGGACGGTGAGACATAACGGCGAAATGGAGGTTGGCCAAGACAGAAAGGGGACTTTGTTGGCATCACGGGCTTAATACAACTTGGATTTGTTGCAAAGATTCTCATTTACTATAAATACACACGATCAAGAGGTTCATTGGTTGATATTGCCGGAAGATGACAGCCGATTTCAGCTGTACTGAAGCCGTTTGGCTGTAATACAACGTTCAGGTTGACGTAGTCCACGAGACATCCGCTCCCGTTTCGAGTTAAAAAGGACCCAGCTTTTGTTCATCATATGACGAGCATCAACAGATCTGAACCTCATTATTGTAAGTGTCAAGTTATCATCAAGTCAAGAAGACTATCCCTTCAAATCCTATCTATAATCAAAAGTAAAAACGAAAGTATACAGATATAGATAAATAAATATAG